GCGGGTTCCTCAGGCCATTTGAAGCAACTTTTTCCTTTACAAAAATTTTCTCCGAGGCACCGTTAACGAGTTATTAACGAAAAACAGTGACCAATGAGAGGCGAGCTCGGCTGGCGCGAGGCGATCGAGCCAATGAGCGGAATTGGGCTTCGCGCGCTGGTTGGCTGGGCCGCCTCGCGTTAGCCGTACTCGACTCTTATTGGTCACTGTTTTTCGTTAATAACTCGTTAACGGTGCCTCGGAGAACATTTTTGTAAAGGAAGAAGTTGCTTCAAATGATCCGAGGAACCCGCCATTTCCGGATTGCGAGACATTTTTGGGACACCCTTAGACTGTTGTAAATCGATGTGAAGACAAAAGAAGTGTGAAACAATGCATACGAAGACGATTAATTGATTCAAACGATGAGCAAGTGAGCTACTAGAGCAAGCCACTATAGTGGCGCGTCGTCCAGAGAGATGACATCCGCGAAAGCCACTATAGTGGCGTGTCGTTCTGAAAGATGACATCCGGCGCGTCGTGCCTAAAAGGTTAAATAACACGTTCAAATCTGAAATGTTCCGGTTCCACGTAGCTTTGGCAAGTCAACTGAACTCTTGCAGAAAAATTCGGCATTATTACGGCATACGTCGTCGTATATTATTAGGTCAGGTTAACACAGTTAAAAGGGAGTAGATTTCAACTCGAAGGAGCGATCTAAGATACTCTAATAGCGGCCATCTCGAAGTCTGGATCTCCTTCACGGAGAGAAGACCGAGTCGATCGCATCGAAGTTTATGCGGCGAAGTCGAAATTTTCGAAGCTACCGAAGTTCTCCAGCCAGTAATTGTTACTTCCACAGGCTGCGGCCGGCTGGAACGTCGCTTCGCAGCCAGAATCCCGATCGTCGCGTGGAAGGTACAGCCCCGGGAGATATCGACGAATTAACGACTAACTGGAGGCGGATTACGTGCACGTAACAACCGGGAACTTGTAATCGATCTATCCGTAATTTAGCCGTCCGTCGTGCATCTGCCTGCTGATCTACATTTTATCGACGCGGCCTCCTGCTCTTATCTCGTCCATCGGAGCTCCGAAAGTGATAGCGGGAAGGGATTTTGCATGGATTCGGAACCGATACGATCTTTTCGCGGGATCAATGCGAAAAATCTGCAGATCCTAACCGTGTACTTAGAGGGATAGAAATCATTTGACGGTGGTTCGTGTGTTCTCGTTTCTGGAACGATGGTGTCTCGATAATCAGCCATGCGGCCTAAGTGACGTCGAGAGACTTCAATAAGCGATTATATTTACGCTCTATATGAGCAGTTTATTTTGAAAGTGGCATAAGTCACTTTGTTTTTAAGTCGATATATTATTATATTTAAGTATATATATAGCAGTAGTATATACAGTATATATATATATATATATATATATATATATATATATATATATATATATATATATTTATTTAAGGGTTTTAACACGTTTAAAAATATGGATGCTAACTTTCGAGAAGATTTACTTGTATTTGTTATCTCAGGATACTGATATTTTTCTCGGTATAAATAATTTCGTATAAACATGAAAAAATCACCACTTTTCATTACGGTAAAGTGACTTGTGCCACTTTCAAAATAAACGGCTCAATTAAGAACGAAACGAACAGCAAAATGGTATCGCTTGATGAGCATACAGTAAATGTAAAGTAAAATGGACAATTTGGGAAGAGAAGGTACGATTACTTCAGCCTTGCGCCTTGTCTTTATAGTTGTTGACAATCGATACCTCGCGAAATTCGAATTCGCNAGGAGATACGATTATTCGAGCCTTGCAGCTCGTTTGTATAGTTGTTGACAATCGATACCTCGCGAAATTCGAATTCGCTCTCCTCAATTTTTAGAAATTCGCAGCCTTCGATCGTTGCAAATTTGTAGTCCCTAATATTTGTAAATTTGCAGTTTCGAAGTTTTAACAACTCCTAGCTCTTAACTGTTACAAATTTCCCGTTCTGAAATTTTCGGAATTCACAGTTCCCAGTTTTTAGAAATAAAACCTGGAAAATTCAATTTTCGGGAATTCGCAGCCCTTATTTTTCGCGTATTTGTAGTCTTCAACAGGATATTGATATTTTTCTCGGTATAAATAATTTCGTATAAACATGAAAAAATCACCATTTTTCATTACGGTAAAGTGACTTATGCCACTTTCAAAATAAACGGCTCATATCTTCAAGCATTTCATACTTTACGTTCATTTTTATTCAGCTAATTTGGAGACTCTTCGAATAATAATATCTGATGATTTTCATAATCAATATAAGTTCACATTGTAAAGTAAATAGCTAAAATAGTGGAAATTTACTAGAAGCGGGTGTAACTCGGTGTAATTTTGAAATCACGCATCTATTTACTGTGTTTTCTAGTCTGATTTTATCGATAGCTGCAATAATACAAAAATGTCTTGTTCTTTAGTCTCTCGTTTTAATCGAGGAGATTATGCATAACGATTTTCAATTTGTACTTTATACACCTGAGAAAATTCGAGCTCCTTAAATTTGTTATCACGTTGATCGATGTGCCAACAATTTAAAAATCTTCATAATATTAAACTGTTTTATTCAACTACATTAAAATTGAACAGTTAAATCATATATCATCAAATACAGTATCAACATTCTTACGTTTTGCAGAACTTAATAGAATTAGAAAGATAAATAAATAATAGAGAGAGAGAGAGAGAGAGAAATAAATTGGCGTAAAAATTTATTTTCAAATCCGAGCAAATAATTCCTTCGCTCACCTATGGGTGACACGACAATCACTCGTTAATTTCTATACAAATTAATATTTCCTAGTTTCGAGTTAGAAACTTTTTTCTATAAACATATACAAAATTTGAACTGCAGAGTGTCAAACTGTTGGGTCTTTAAGCACGAAATGCATACATTTTATAATAAAATTATAAAGCAAGTATTTCATACTTAACAAGCCTCACAAAACTGATACCTCGGTCTCAATTTTAGAGACATAATCGACGATCTAAAATGTTTAAAAGACACCCAAATATAAGAAACAACACAGTTTTCACGCCACAGATGCACAACAAGCTTCGGATGAACCTCTTCCCCGAATGAACTGCATTTAACAAACGCAGCAGAATAACGAAGTTTCAATAACCCGACTAAAACGAAAAATCAAGACCAAATTCGACAAAAACAACAGCCGTGCCGTGCAAAAGAAGCTCTAAAAATTTTCCGGGGAAGGATCGTCGGCCGTTTTCCGTTCTCGTTGAAGCCCGCGGCCCGACTCGAACGCGTATTCTTCGGCAGACAATAATATTGACGTAAATCAGGCTGATAATAACAAGTGACCCCACCCCCGCGGCGAATCGGTCCGCATAATAAAACGTCGACCCACAAAAGATCCTCTCCTAGTCTCTCCTTTCGAGCCGCGAAATCTACCGCTTCCTCCGGCAAGTTGCATAAATTATTTTCCCCGACCGGACGCGAACAATGACCAGAATAAGAATGGCGGAGAGGTTTTACCTGGTGCGGTCGCCGCGACGATTTCCACGATAAAACGCGAGCTGCACGCCGAACACGCCGATCATCGATCGTTCGACGAGCGTGTCCGCCCGCGAACGTTCCCGGGATTTTCTCTGGATCACGTTCGGGATCGCGGGGATTCTCCCGGCATGCCACGGTGACCGGCAAACCCCGTCGGATCCTGGCCCGGCAGCTATTTCACTCGCTTCGAAACAAACCAAACAGCCGCGAATAATGCGCGCCTGCTAGCCAGATACGCGCGGATGTCCACAATGTATCGAGGTCAATTTAATCACGTTCACAAAACTGTCACATAATCACGGTGCACCTCCGGCGGGCCGCAAGTATACGGTTTCCGCGTCCCGTCAACGAGAGCCGGCCGTTTAATGGCTGCCGCGATTTTCCACGATCGTCTTTCTATCACGGATCGTCCACCGGCACTCCGTCGAACAACTAGCTTTTTCGCCGATCGGATTTGATTGTTTAATCGCGTTCATTCGCTGTTTCACAGCGTTTTCGACGGCTGCGACCACGGAATGCCTTCGATATCACGATTTTAGTCTACGTATTTTTGTGGAACCTGCGTGTACAATTTCCTTGGAGTTTGAGTTTACCAGGTCATGGAAATATTGAGAGTATAATATATTATAATAATATGTCCAGGCGATAAATGCTGTGCTTCATAAATTGTTAAAAATTGTTCTGTTTTGCTGCAATATTTCTCGCCGATTTAAATAGTTTCACAGAACTCGTGTGTCGAGAGGATTGATCAGACCGTGCGATCTGCACTGTATTTTGTTGAAATCGCGCTACGATCTTGTTCTGGGTGAATTGTTACGCTCAATTCGCGCGACCATGGAGCAACGATGCTCGAAAAAACGTATCCGCAGGATTTCTTCTAATATTTTCTATGCGGTGATTAATTTTCAAATTCGAACGTTCCCCGAAAAGTTTATCGTTCAAGAAATTCTCTAAAATGTCCAACGCGGCTACCAGAATTGTTAACAATCCTTCTATCGTATAATCACCAGTGGGTATTAGACAATCTCATCAATAGTCGAATTACGGTAATTCCCATCCAGTGATCGCTATCGTCGCCGCTACAGTGCTATCTGCATTGTTCACGTATCTCGCGACCATGTCCTGCAATCAAGATCTAGTCACCCTTTTCGGTCTCTTCGACTGTATTTCCATCCGATCTGGTCCCAATATTTCTCGCTGTCATCATCTGCGCACTTTTCTCCGGTTATACATTCAATATTCCCATTCACCACGCTCCTCGTATCGGTTCATTCAATCAAAACTGAAAGTTCATTCGCGCAATATATATTCGCAACACTTGTGCCACCATCGCCGACTTCTCTCTACGATCGCACTTTCTTCCGCGAATTCACTTCAACGCCGCGTCGACTCGAATCGGCCGAGCTAAGCTTGTCTAAATGTACGTCGTAGACACCGGGCTTCAAGGATCATCCTGCCATCGGCGCACTTCCTCCGGTTCAACGCTCCAACTTCGCGACTCTCTCGATTCTCTTCTCGAAGGCCTTCCAGCGTCCTTCGGACGACGCGTTGCGTTCTGTCGATCGACCGATTGCCCGACGACAAGCTTACCGTTTCGATCGATTTCTCGGATCGACGTTGTTCCAGAGGAACGATCGCGCGTTTCTTCGATCGCCGATCAACGGGAAAGCGATCAGGCCGGCGGGGGTCGGCTTGGAATCGCGGGATCCGCGGGCAAGGATCGGGTTCTCGCTGACCCGTGATAGGCGAGCGACACGGGGACCGTCCAGATATCCGATCCAGAAGAGGCTGGACCCGATATCAAAGAAGAAGGTACTACGGGCAGGTTGTCTCGCGCAACTGCGGCCGCCGCGGCCGGCAAATTGCCTGCTTCCGGGCCTCATTACATCACTCTGTTACTCTGTTAACGCTCGCCGGAAACCCCTCTCTGCCTGCCTCATCTAAACTCTCTATCTCTCTATCTGTCCCTCCCTCTCTCTCTCTCTTTCTCTCTCGCGCGCTCTTTCTCTCTCTCTCTCTCTCCCTCTGTCTCGCATGTACCTACACACACCGTTTAAATGCGTTGTGTCGCGGACGACGCGGCCGCGCGCGGACTCATGCGAAAGAGGGAGAAAACGCGAAACCGATGGATTCTCGACTGAAATTTCGAAACGGCTACGAATAAGACCTGGACTCTACTCTCTTTGTACCAAAACTGAGCAGGCTCGTCATTACTGACTGTCCCCGGGAACGTCGATCGGTTCCAAAGCGCGGATCCGTGCGCAAAATCGAAGTTTTCTGTGTCGCTCGCAAGAAACGGAAATTATGGGAATATTTGTTCGCTTTTTTTAACATTCTCGACGCGGTGACTATGCCAGTTTTGACCCGGAGCACTTAAATCGTTCACTTAATTGATCAATCTTCGGGAATTGGATAAAATAAATTGCTGTTGCGTTAGGAACGACGAAAAGGCTAATGAGTCTGCAAGAAATGTCTTCGAAAATATGTCTCGAAGAATTGCTGAATGAAGCTCGGAATTATTATAAACATCGTCAACGGTACAGTTATGAAAATGGTACGTCGTTCGAGGGTTAATAATTTGTGTATACTATTATATTATATATACATTTGTATTAGGTCTACCGGAAAGTTCTGTCCGTTTTCGAATTGAAATATAACACAATTTTCATACATTTAATAATATTTATCGTAGAATATACTTTCCATCGTTACTTATGACTTCTTGCCAGCGTGATGGCAACTTGTAAATGCCATTTTTAAAAAATGATTTATTTTTAGAGGCGAAGAACTCAACTAGTGCTTGGTTGACATCAGCTTCGGTTTTGAATTTTTTTTCCTGTAAAAAGTTTTGCAAAGAGAGAAACAAGTGATAATCGGAGGGTGCTAGGTCTGGAGAGTATGGTGGATGCGACAGAATTTCCCAGCCTAGCTCTGCGATTTTCTGACGAGACGCCAAAGCAGCATGTGGTCCGGCATTATCATCGATAGCCATGTTTTCACGATCGCGTCTCGCTTAATAATGACACGAGACATCTTTGTTTCAGTTTATTTAGGAGAGCACATGTGTGTAAATGCAATGATAAAAAAAGATAGTCATATGTGTCTCAAAGTGACACTATCGGACAAAACTTTCCGGTAGACCTAATATAATAGTATAATACAATATGTATCTGTATTTGAGACGATCGAGCATATCATGTTCGAGGAAATCATGCTAGAATCATGCTAGAGGAAAATTTAGATTTTAGAATTCTATTAAAATTGAACGTGGATCAAATATCTTTCTCTATCGTGCAAAATTGTTTCTATGGGGTGTATTGTGGAATTGTGATTTCAGATTTCAATTGAACATCTTGGATGAATTTGGGAAACTGATAGATATAAATCATATTAAGTTCAATGTACATTAACTCACTTTCGAACTCGTGGCAAGTTAACGTTTATATTAAACACTGAACGTTGCAAAATGTCACAAATTGAATGTGCTAGAGGAAAATTTAGATTTTAGAATTCCAGTGAAGTTGAACGTGGATCAAATATCTTCCTCCATCGTGCAAAATTGTTTTTATGGGTTGTATTGTGGAATTGATTTCAGTATTTCGTGAACATCTTGGATGAATTTCGGGAACTGATATCTATAAATCATATTAAGTTCAATGTACAGTAACTCACTTTCGAACTCGTGGCAAGTTAACATTTATATTAAACACTGAACGTTGCAAAATGTCACAAATTGAATGTGCTAGAGGAAAATTTATATTTTAGAATTCCAGTGAAGTTGAACGTGGATCAAATATCTTTCTCCATCGTGCAAAATTGTTTTTATGGGGTGTATTGTGGAATTGATTTCAGATTTCAATTGAACATCTTGGATGAATTTCGAGAACTGATATCTATAAATCATATTAAGTTCAATGTACAGTAACTCACTTTCGAACTCGTGGCAAGTTAACGTTTATATTAAACACTGAACGTTGCAAAATGTCACAAATTGAATGGTTAGCAGGCGCAATATCAGTGAAAACATTAGAAATCCGATGAATTCTAAAAACTCTAAAAACCAAGTAAAAGCATGTCACGAAACCCATGAAAATGCTTGAAATAATGTTCACGAAGTATCAAAAGACTCGAAGGTTCAAAGCATCCGTAAGAATTTGTAAAGATCGTACGTCCAAAACACACATTGAAATCTTCGGAATTGTGAAAAGTTTTTAACGCTCGCGACGTCTAATTAGCGATATCGTTGATTAATTAAAAACGATTAAATTTCCTCGATTTTCATGAGAACGGTTTAACGCAGAAATAACTGATTCCGCGAATCGCTACCAGCACAGACGCGAATCACCGACGCTTCACTATCGAGAAAGACCTTTCACGATCGAAAAAACCGGAAATGTGAAGTTCGACGAGGGAACGAAGAACAATTTTCATAAACGCGGCCGGGATGAGCGACGCTCGATGGAAGAAAATAAAGCGGTGAAACCGATATTACTTGAACGAGGCGTTCTTCCTCTGAAAACAGGACTGCCTTAATGACAAAAATGAGCGTACACGGTATGTAGATGATTCTAAAACGGGCAAACGCGGGGAGCAAAACGAGTTTAATAAGATAGATAGAAATCTTGAGATTTCCCATCAAACTCCATTCTATCGCGCAAAACGAACAAACGATGCGGTTAGAAACGCCTAACATAGCTTGAAAACAACTCGTATAACTATAACCGTTGATTAACACTAGCTTCGTGGCTACGCTTCTTTCGTTCCGGCATCCCACATTTCTTAATTATCGTATATTGTTTGCAGGTAATAAATACAGCTAGATATAAACATTTAAATATGTTAAATGCTTAACTGGTTAACTCTATTATAATTTCAATATCCTGCTCTGTTTCAGTATCCTTAATCCCTTACTCTACGATTTCTTCCAGTGCTACCATTCATTGGCGCTTCTTCGTCCTTAATACGTAAAGCGCCGAATATCGACTCCGAAAATTCCAACAATATCAATTTAATGAAATTGACTTCTTTCTCGTCAAATAATGTAACCAGGAAATCGTGCGTTCAATGTGTTTAGTCATCGTTCGAATCATCAGAGGTGAATGTTCTATTTCCTCCATAAATAATTCTTACAATTTTCATCCTAACAATCTATGCAAATTCTCGAGTACAGGTTAACTAAATTCCTAAATAAGTCCACACAGTTTCACAATGCGTGTATCTCCTATTTCATTAAACAAACATTTGTATCGATATATAATTTTCATAAATAAACTGCTTTAATCATTCTTTTAAACACAATTTTGCATAGAACACATGAAAAGATAGAGCAGCTTTATTTATATAAAAATATTTGACAGAATTTTTCGTGGTTCTGAAGAACGCTCCTGAAGGACACAATTCATTCGAATCATCAGAGGTGAATGTTCTATTTCCTCCATAAATAATTCTTACAATTTTCATCCTAACAATGTATGCAAATTCTCGAGTACAGATTAACTATATTCCTAAATAAGCCCACATAGTTTCACAATGCGTGTATCACAAATGTTTGTTTAATGTTTTCCAGTGCTACCATACATTGGCACTTCTTCGTCCTTAATACGTAAAGCGCCGAATATCGACTCCAAAAATTCCAACAACATCAATTTTACCTAATTAACAATAACGATACTAAAATGTTAAAATCATAGGGAATATTACTTTATCTCTTTCATATAGCAAAAATCCTAGTAAAATTCAGTTTGTTCGTTACATTACGATAAAAATGAATTTTGAAAACCTAAGTTAAAAATTAGTGTCACCCGCATGTGACAATTTATATTTTTTTGTATGTTCCCACATATTTTCATTCCTAGATTTTGATAACAGAGCAATTAAATTTTGTTTCGATTCAGAAGCAACGAATATAATGTCCATATTTAAGTAGATTCTGCATGAAATCATCATCATTGATGATTTTACTCTTTTTCCAACGTCCATTCCTGAATAGCAATTTAGCTCGACCAAAAATTTCCTTTAACCCTAGAAAGATAACCATATGACAACGTACGTAAAAGATAACCATACGCTTCAGAGGCGCATGCTTTTCTAAGGCGTCAATTTTATACTAACAATGGATATTTATTTAAGTTAATCTAGTCATTTTAAAGGTTTGGCATTATTGTAAAAATAAAATGCATTTATATTATATTTTTTTATATTTTAAGTAATTTTAAACTTAAATCACTAGACCTCTATGAAAAATTAACAAAAATCAACAGTCTTCGCAGTCGCCTCTGCGACGTAGGTTATCTTTCTCGGGTTAAACAAAACAGTTTCGTTATCACTTTTATGGAATTAATAGAAAAATCAATTTCTCCCGATGCTTGTTCTTCTCAGCTTAATCCGCGACGATTCGAAAATTCCATAAACATCCGGCAGTCTGTGGATCGCGAAGTACGACGGACGGAGGCAGGCGGAATTTACGAGGCGTTAAAAAAACGGATAACGACAACGGAGAGGCGCGGAGTAATAAAAAGAAAACGGCGGGAAAAAATCGCGAACGCGCGGTCGCCTGGTAATTTAGCGTTGAATGTATGCGTGGCGTGGTTAATTCGCGAGACATGCGTGTGGCCAAGCGGGGGTGGACCGTTCCATCGCGGATGGAAGCCGCTAAAGTGTGTGCAGAGAAGAAAGAACGATGATAAGCGAGCCACACTTTTTACGGTGCTTCGCGGTTATCGAAAGGTTCGCCGAGCAACGATTAACGTTCGAACGGCTCGTTCACTGGGAACGTTTGAATCCCTACTATCTAGCGTTTATAAAACTATAAAGTATCTTCGAATGAATTGTGCCCTTCGGGA